AGAATCGTGATCTCAATTCTAAGCCAAAAAATCGTGATTCTCCTTTTATGCAAAATCGTGCAGCCCTACCAGCTTGCATATGCATCTACAGAGCAGACTACGCACATATAACATATGAGCTATCACAATATCCTCACTCCACAAAGCAATAACACAAGCATGCATTTCTGTCTATGTCTTATGGATTTACGCGCTGATGTAGATCCATACGTTTGCACAACACTGTGAGAAGCACTGAGGATGGCTCTGGTATCCATGTGCTGTCTCTTTGCTGTGTCCAACAACATGCACAGCTGCTTGGTCACAGCACGTGATGATGCTTCTCCAAAGAAACAACCTCAGCACGATGCACAATTCAAACATTAAACATGATATTCGTCACAGTAAGCAGATGACCAAGATTACGTCCAAATGATTACATGCAACAGTTTATAACGTGCAGTATTTCACAGATCTCTCGGCTGTTTTCTTGCATGACGTTGAATTAGAGCAACGGCACACAAACACCATCATCAGAAGCAGCATTAAGCTTCTAGTCTAAATGGTGACGAACAGCAGCAGCAGCTTCAGATCAGCAGGCGATCAGCCGTGTACCTTATTTCCATCAGCTGGGTTGTGGATAACAGTGGTTTGAGGCTCCTGATTTGAGAGGAGGAGGAGACGTTGAGTGAAAGTCGATTAGTAAGACTGGCACGCAGGCGTTCAGCAAAATGGACTCAAGTGAAAGCAGTGAAGGGAAGTTTAACAGCTGCTATTTAGGGAAAACAGGTCATCACTACAAACAAAACTGCAACTACAGCAATGACTACGACTGCAGACACGAGATGATTTGGCACTGAAAGCTGCGACGACACCCACAGATAGTTCTGCTTAGTGCCAGGATGACAATGACAGGAACACACATGGTGGTGTAATGTTTGTAAAGAGCTGAACGCTCACTGAAGCATCAAAGTACTTCTATAAAGAGACACGTGATCAGGACGGTTTCCCTGCATGTCAACTCCAAACTCAGCAGCTGCGAACCTGAGGCAGACCAACTCCTGTCAACAGGGTGAAGCTGTGAGTGAGCTCTGCCACTGTGCTACACGAGCCCCACTCTTATATTGGTGCAGGAACCTGGAAATATTAATCTGAACTGCATGTTTGCCTTATCAGACTTAGTGAGGGACATTTAGAGAAGGATGCAGATTTGATGAGTGGACTGACGTCTGTCTCATTTATGAACCTGGGGTTGAAAACACAAGAAGCTCTAATATCCATTTAAAGACAAGCTTTAATCACCAATCACGTCTGTGATTCCAGCACATGTGACGGGTTTGTCAACTCATGAACTGATCATTGCAATCAGATACGGACAGCTCAGTAGGTATAGTGGTCAGAAGGTCAGGGGTTCGAATCCACTGAACAGCTACCCTGAGGTACTGTCCCTACACATTGCTCCCCGGGCGCTGCCCACTCACTGTGTGGGTGCTGCCCACTCACTGTGTGGGTGCTGCCCACTCACTGTGTGGGTGGGTTAAATGCAGAGGAGACTACGGGGACTAACACATATTTAAACTAGACTGTTCTTAAAGCCTGGACATGAACGGGTGCCAGAACAAAATACCTCACAACTGTTCTCTAGACTTGAAGATGAGATCAATTTCAGGACCATGTGAGGTTATTGTTTATAAAAAATCTACTTATGTTCTCCTCTGCCAGACACTTTATTAGGTACGCCTTTTGTGGCATATATTCAACAAGGTTTGGAGCTTCCTGTCCACACTGACACAACAGCATTGTGCAGCTGCAGGTCCAAATAATGCTGCACCACATCCCAGTGGTGCTCTGGTCTGGACTGATCCCAGTACGAGACATTAACCAGTTGGAACCAGCTGTCATAAGATGGGTGGACACTCAGGGCGGCTGTGCTGTTGAAATAGTGCTCAAAGAAAACAGCCCCCATTTCATGTTCTTCTGCATACTCTGGGCATAATCAGTGGTTATTTGACTCACTGTTGCTTTCTTATCAACTCGAAGCAGTTTGGCCATCCTGCTCTGACATTGTTGGCCCAAAGAACTACCGCCCACCGGATATTTTCTCTTTTTGGTACTATTGTCTGTGAAGCCAGGAGATTGTTGGGTGGGAAACTGTAGTGGATCAGCAGTTTCTAAAATACACACTGCAGCCCATCCAGCTTTTCTACCCAAGCTTTTTAAAACTGTCTTTCTTCGATGTTGTGATGCTCTGAACTTCAGCAGCCCGTCTTGACCCCACCCACTGAGTTTCTCCTGTGTAGCTTGCTGATTGGATACTTGTGTTGATGAGCAGTTGTACAGAGGTGCACCTAGCAGACACTCTGGTGAGGATATATTAGGGTCATGAAGGAGGTGAACTTTAGTGTGAATACTGGCATCCAGCTGGGGGTGTAAGAAAACTACAACTTGTGATTTGACTTTGGCGTGTTTCATAAATCTGGTTTCATGAGTCGGATCTGTTTCCCTTCTGCTTTGCTAACAGCGACCTTTGTACCTGCCGGCCTCTAACATCGAGGAACTCCTCCATCTTCATACCTTAATTGTCTCAATGCAATAACAACCAACAGTGTATTAGCCACAGCTGGCTTGCAATGGTCCCAGTACCATTACAGCTGGCATCAACAACAAAGGAGAATGTAGCCCATGTGTAGCAATGGAGCAATGTACAAAGCAACCCTCATATTACAACAAAGACGTTTCAAATGGAAAGAACAAGAAAACAACAGTGACCATCGACAACAGAAAGGAAAATATTACACAGAGCAGAAGTAATGAGAGATCTACAGTTAGAGACAGAGTCATGCAAACACAGGCAGCAAGGCAGGCAGACAGTGTACCAGAGAAGGAGTGGGGACAGGCTCTTTAGGACTGGTGACCACATTGGCCTTGTTGTTGATCTGGAGAGACAGAGTGGACAGACAGGCAGGTAGATGGAACAGGGCAGAAGTGACAAGGCTTAGTGTCCAAACAGTCACTCCTCAAGCAGCTGCTGTGGAAGGAAAAGTGGGACATTGTGCTCAGGAGTCGCTGTCACGTGTGCCACCCCACCGGGAACGTTTCAGCATCAGTTCAGCCGTCGAAGAGGCTCATCAAATTAACTTCCTCTGATCAAACCTCCGATCAAGAAATGTTATTAGGACATGAGTTAATAGACCGTGGAATATTCAAACAGTATTAGATCCCCAGAGTTCAAAGTTAGACAGCGAACAGAGAGTGGAGAGGAAAAAATGACCCAGTTGCTGTCATGAATTTAATAAGGTAAATGACACTTGTTCTACTAGTTGTCTGTGTGCTGATTCCAGCATGCACCAGGGTACAACAACAGGTTGATACTTCTTCTCTTTGTCTACTGCAAGATACTGATTATTAAAATGTGTGTGTTTGCTTCACTGGCTGGGCTGACAGCACAGACAACAGCACAGACAAGAGCAGAGACGACAGCAGAGACGACAGAGAACAACGCACGAGACAACACACAGACAAGAGCAGAGACGACAGCAGAGACAATAGCACGAGACGACAAAGCAGAGACAACAGCACAGACAACGAGACACGAGACGACACAGCAGAGACGACAGCACGAGACAACAGCAGAGACGAAAGCAGAGACGACAGCAGAGACAACAGCACGAGACGACAGCAGAGACGAAAACAGAGACGAAAGCAGAGACGACAGCAGAGACAACAGCACAGACAACAGACACAGACAACAGACACAGCACAGACACAGCAGAGACAACAGCCAGACAACAGCAGAGACAACAGCACAGACAGCAGAGACAACAGCACAGACAACAGTACAGACAGCAGCACAGACAACAGCAAGACAACAGACAGACAAGCAGAGACAAACAGAGCGACAGCAGAGACAACAGCAAGACAAGCACAGAACAGCAGAGACAACAGACAGACAGCACAGACAACAGCACAGACAGTCAGCACAGACAACAGCAGAACAACAGCTACAGACAACAGCTACAGACAAGAGCAGAACACAGCACAGACAAAGCAGACGACAGCAGCACAGACAAGGCAGAGACACGCAGCACAGACAAGAGCAGAGACACAGCACAGACAACAGCAGAGACAACAGTACAGACAGCAGCACAGACAACAGCAGAGACAACAGCAGAGACAACAGCACAGACAGCACAGACAACAGCAGACAACAGCACAGACAACAGCAGAGACAACAGCTACAGACAACAGTACAGAGACAACAGGACGACACAGCAGAGACGACAGCAGAGACAACAGCACAGACGACAAGCAGAGACAAGAGCAAGACAACAGCAGAGCACAGCCAGCAGACCACAGCAGAGACAACAGCAGACGACAACAGACACAGCAGAGAGAACAGCACAGACACAGCAGACAACAGCAGAGACAACAGCACAGACAACAGTACGACATGCAGACACACAGCAGAGCACGAACAGCAGAGACGAACAGCAGAGACAACAGCACACGAGACACAGCACAGACAACAGTACAGACAGCAGCACAGACAGCAGCAGACAGACAGCACAGACAGCAGACAGACAACAGCAGAGACACAGCACAGACAAGCAGCAGACAGACAGCTACAGACACAGCACAGACAGCAGCACAGACAGCAGCACAGACAGCAGCACAGACAGCAGCACAGACAGCAGCAGAGACAACAGCAGAGACAACAGCAAGACAGCAGCACAGACACACACAGACACAGCAGAGACAGCAGCAGACAGAAGCAACAACAGCAGAGACACCAGCACAGACAACAGCACGAGACAACAGCACAACACACAGACACAGCAGGACAACAGTACAGACAGCAGCACAGACAGAGAGACAGCACAGACCAGCACAGAGAGCAGCACAGACAACAGCACGACAACAGCACAGACAGCAGCACAGACAGCAGCACAGACAACAGCAGAGACAGTCAGACACAAAGCTGATAAAATGCATCGTTCGTCCTAAAGAAAGATTCTCAGGCGCTGTGACTACTTTGATTAAGCTACAGCAGGTTAAGGGACTTTACCAGACATCACTGTGTGAATTATTTTACACGCACACACACAGCTAAAAAGAATCAAAGGAACTTTTTAAATCAGACTTCCTGATCTGATCAGGTGGGTAACAGTGTGGGCTGCTAGTTTCACCTGCTGGAGTTTGGCTGAAGTTAGTGCAGCAGTGTGGTCTGATACCGGGGCCATACAAAGGTTGCACAGGTGTTTCACAAACGCACAACTCCCAGTGCCAGACAGTTTGCTGTATCTTGTATCACAGTCTCAGACTTGTAGGAGAGTCCAGGAGACGGCAGTTACTCTAGCAGAGCTGGACCAATATCTGCTCCTTTGTGCAAGCAGGAACAGAATGAGCACTGCCAGCGCCCTACAGCACAACCGCAACAGGCCGCTGGTGTGAAGGCTCTCACAAAACAATCAGACGAAGAAGAAATACAACAATAACTGAGGCTGTAGAAACTGCCAGAGGCTCACAGGTTTGGTCATGAAGCCTGAACATATATCCAGATTGTACTCTTGGCTACAAGGCAATCATATCAGAGGCAGACAGACCAGAGCTCGAACACTCGAAGAACATCTGGGAGAAAAAGAAAAGAGAAAAATACAAACGCAGAGTGGCTGGTGGACATAAGACCAGAGAACAAGAGCCAGTCAGCATCACAAAGGCAGACATCCAACAACAAGTGTCTGGAACGAAGAGCCGGACGGCCCCAGGACCCGACGTGAGCCCCGTCTGCAGCCTGAAGAAGCTAACAGCACTGCTTGATCACCTGACAGGACAAACAGGGGGCTGATTGTGAAGGATCCACACAAGGGTACACATGTGCTGCTCCAAGAACACCAAGACAGATGGGATAAGGAACAGGAAGAGGAACTACCATGGATGACCGAGCCCCTGGACCACACTGGCCTTGCTCCTCACATGCATCACTGACCCTGTGCACCACTGGTTTTTAGTAGATACTGACCACTGTATACTGGGAACACTCCAGAGCTGCAGTTCTGAGATGCTCTGTCCAACCGTTACACTTTTTCCAGTTCAGTCACGGCCTACTACGCCCCGCCTACTAACAGGAGTGATGAAGAGTTAACAGAGTTATTGATATAGTGTAGCATGATTCAGATATTTAGATTCACCCGTCAGTGGTGTCAAATGAGTGAAATATGGTAATTTCATTTTAAACGGCGTTAGTTGTGCCTGACAGCACACGGTCACTGAGGAAAGTTGTTTTCCTTGTGCGTGCTTTTGTTTCAGAAATGTGGAACATGCGTCACATTTACACACCACGGAGACGCCGACTTTAAGAAACCCCGACAACGAAACAATTAGATCACATCAACTCCACGTAGACGTGAAAATTCAACGAATCTAAACCACAACTATGCACACATTCAGAATCTATGGTTTAAGCTGTGTCATCTACTGTGCCAGTGTCTGCGGTTTAGTCTCAGCTGGGGACACACTACATGACTTTATTTAATGCTGACAGTGGAACTCCTGGTTTTAACGTCCACGTGGGTCAGGAATGGGAATCTGTTCCCATCTGTGCAACAAAGCAAACAAAAGAGTTCAGCGTGAAACTAGCATCACTATAAGCATTAATCTATTCAACACTGCTGTATGCAGGAGAAGAAGAAAGCTACAGATTGTGTACATAAGTGGCTATTTGGTCAGCAAGCAGTGGTTATGAGCTCAGGTCAGGCCTGCACACCAGAACAGGTGGACCTCACACAGAAAACTTTAAAACTTTATTTTTGTTTTACATAAAAAAACTATTTTTAGTATTTCAGAGGTTTCAAACCTAAATCCTACATTTTCTGAATAAAATGTTGAACACGGATTCAAAGGCATCTCTGACTTTAATAATAACAATGATAAAGCTGCTTTGACACATTCAGCCCAAACTATAGTGTTTCTGTGTCGTGAGTCATGCAGTGCCTCCCCAGCCTCAAGCAGCACTGTGATTGTGGTGGAAACACAACGAGGTCTCTATTGCCAACTACTTCAAAAGCTGGTCTGGCTACAAAAGCAGCAGACGTACCCCCACGTGCTCTGCACTGTCCGTCTTCCTTTTCTGCGTGAACACAGGAAACGTCGTCTTTGTCTCATCGTGAAACGTAACTCACATCAATCCACTGCATATTCATTTGTGTCCAAAGTAGTAAATGAAACCACACGATGGTGATTAAAATGCATACTTAGCAAAAAGCACTTCCTTTCACATAATGCAACAAGTCAAATTCATGAAACCAGCAACACGTTTTTAACAGGTCATGAAGACAAGCGGACTACCACAGGCAGGAACACGAGTCCCTCTGACAGGCTGGACTGTGCTTAAAGGGAAACCAGAGCTATTTAATGAGCCTCAGAGATGATGCAGCACATTTCACAGAACTGTCAAATCAAACAACAGCAATGCTGCGGAGCTCTGCAGAGCTCTGCTTCCTCTTTCTTTCTCACTATTGAGCACACCGACAAAATCGTTGTGTCTGGGATTTGTAAACATGCTGTTTGCCCGGCAGGCAAATGACCTCAACCTACTATAAACCGTATCCACAGTCCCCAACACCTACAGAACCTGCAAATGTAATAGAAACTAATTGAGATACTGGGTAAAGCAGCATAGCCTAGCATACCAGCAGCAACCAAGGAGGATGACTCTCAAACGGTCAACTGTCCATATACGTACGATGACATAAGTACTACTGACCTCCATCAATGCTGGAGTCTCAGGAGCTGGAGCCAATCCCAGCTGTCTTAGGGCAAGAGGTGCAAGGCACACCTGGACAGCTAACAGCTAACACATACTCACACATTCACACGCACGCCAAGTTTCCAGTTAACCCCGCTGCCTGTGGACTGTTGGAGGAAGCCGGAGTACCCGGAAAGCACCCACACAAACACGGAGCACATGCAAACTCCACCAGCCTGATGGTGGAGTTGAACTCAGAACCTTCTAGCTGTGAGGCAACAGCGCTAACTGCTGTGCCACCGTGCTGTTTCAGATGCACATGTTCCTAAAAGCGTCATAAACGTGAATTGAAGAGTTTATCTTCATGTTGAGTCAACACAGTGAAAAATGACGAACTACCTGTGACACCTGGTAGGACGGACGCATGTCTGAAGACAAGCTTCATTAATGTCCATTTTGTTGACAGTATTCAAACATGAGAGCAAACCCACGGGGGTCCAGTGGGGTGTGCAGTACGACCTGCTGTCAACAATAAGGTACATCTGTAACCTGGAGTGTGACGGTACTTACTTTGACACCATCCGGTTTTTTATTCAGCAGGCTCTTGGCTGCTGTGGAAACAAAGACAACAATGGGAGGAAATCAGACGCCAGCTGAACAACTACACAGGCACATGCAGCAGGTCCATTCAAGGCGGCCAATGACTAGCAGCCTCAGAGTGGCCCTACCAGGATCGGAAGCAGAAGAGGAAAAAGCAAAGTCAGGAGACAAAAAAGCCCAAAGAAAGCAGTAACGGAGACGGGAGCATGCGGTTAGATTCAGCTGGTAAAACCTCAGGAGACACGGAGCACATTTAGAGGAAACTCTGCTCTTTCAGCAAGAACACTGAGCAGCAACTCTGAGCTTCCCTCACGTATTTGTGGCCGGTTAATGAACTTTACAGTCGACATGCAAGGACGCTGTGAGACATGAAGCAGGTGATTGTAGCGGCAGAGGTAAGCAGTTTGGTGCATTGTCTGTCAGGGTGAGACTAAACCACAGCACGTAGAGTGACCGATCGAAGCTTTGCAGTAGGGCTGCCACAAACGATTATTCTGATAGTCGACTAGTCACCGATTATTTCTGCGATTAGTCGACTAATCAGATCCATTAGACGTACAGCTTATTGCACCAGCAGCATCTGCTCTTATATAACTATCATTAGCTTACAGCTTTAAGTGTTTAAGGTGCTAACTAACAATAAAGACAAGATGATAGTTTATTAAATTTTAATGAAATTTGCAGATTGTTTCGGTGAAGTTTAATAAACTCCTTGCTATCTAAAATATAACAGGACACCGGAGTAATTCTCCAGCATCTCACACTTCTGATAATCAGCTGTCTGCTTGACGTTTATTCAGCTGTGTAAAAACTTTAATCTCAGCCAAACCGATTTACTCAGGAACAAATAAAAACTGAAAAAAGCCAAACAATAACATTTTAAGTTATCTAAGTGACTCATATATCATGTTTAACCTGAGTAGTCGAAAGACGGCGGTGGGTTTGAAAACGATTTGCCGGGAGTCCGGTGTTCTCACGGCTCTAGAGCCTAGCCCCCGGCTAGCTATCGAGCTAGTGGGTAACAGACGTCTCCGAAAACGTCGGAGCGCTTTTGAAAATATGTGGTGTCCTGATAAACTGAGCAGATATTTGAGGAAGTAGAAACCTTTCGCGCATGCGGGGTACCGATCGGGTTTCCGGTACGGATCGGGTAGTGACAGCTGCGCCATTGTTGGAAACTGCGCTGGGCTGCGCTATGAATTCTGGGACACAGCTTCTTCTTCTTCTGGGGTTTAACGGCAGCTGGCATCCTTGTACATGCAGTGCTGCCATCTTCTGTTTCAGTCCGTTATTACACTCTTAAATCCTGCTACTTATTCCTGCGTCTTTTGGGATCTTACAAAGCTTCAAACGACGCGTCGACTATTAAATCAGTCGTCGACGATTTTGATAGTCGACTAATCGTGACTAGTCGACTAATCGTGACTAGTCGACTAATCGTGACTAGTCGACGTAATCGTGACTAGTCGACGTAATCGTGACTAGTCGACTAATCGTGACTAGTCGACTAATCGTGACTAGTCGACGTAATCGTGACTAGTCGACGTAATCGTGACTAGTCGACTAATCGTGACTAGTCGACTAATCGTGACTAGTCGTAATCGTGCAGCTACGCAAAGTGACAAGCTGTCTTTTGGCGGCCATTGAAGAGAAACGTCTGTCTGGGCCCATATTTAAAGGAGATGATATAATTACGAGTCTATTTAGGAGCCGCTGAGCTTTAAAAGCAGGAACTTTAATACGTTTTTAATGACTTTGCATGGATACGTGTCGAGCTTTATATCAACAGCAGATCCTTTCTTTGCTGCTGTGAGATACACGTGGAACAGATCCATCACATAATCAATGCTTTCTGTCTGCACACAGCCAACTTTTCCCTTCTGATCAATTAAAACACATCAAACTTAACTGTTTTTATATCCCTGTGATGTTTTTCTATTGAAATCACATCATATTTACACACATTGAAAGGATTAACTCCAACATGTGATAGTTCCGCTCTGTCTGTGGGTCTAATATATATATATGTATATTTAACGATACAACATCTGACTGGAAGCGAGAGGCGTCTGCTCCCCTCTGCAGTCAATACTGAGGCCGTTTCTTAGTCTGCAGGATGGCAAAGGCCTCGTAAACCAGCTTTGATTCCTCTACAATGACCGCTAATGCACAAACTGACCCACAGTGGAGTTTTGGTAGACACACATGCCCGGACTCAAACCTGGCAGCGTAGCTCAGAGACGTGCTAGCTACAGCGAGGACTCTTACCTTACACACGAGTTACCACACGAGGAGGAAGAAAGAAAAGCAAAGGTAAACAGAGGGATCGCACTCACAGCTGAGACAGAAGTGCAATGAGCAGCTTTCCTGTCATTAGTCATAAACACAAATCAATACTGGTTCAGTTGAAATGGTTCGCCCTTTAAAGGCACCTGTGGACGGCATCGATCTGCACGCTCACTCCAGTTTTTGTTAACGGCAGCTTAAAGGGGAGCACCGAGCTTAATGGGCTCTAAAGGCCAGAACATCAGGACACAGCAGGACTCAACATGTGAACGGCATTATAGGGAGTCGCTACAACACGGGCCATGACTGGCTGTCAGCCTTTACTCCAGCTCGTACCTGAGAAGTTTCGAGTGGCGAGCATCGTTGTCAGGATGGCACCCTGAGGAGAGAGATGGACAGGGAGCGTCACAGCAGGATGAGCATGCTCTGGTTTTCAGTGCTTTAGATGTGCACCGCTCACTGCCGCCGCCTACCTTGAGTTTCCTCCTGGCGTTGAATTTCTTGAGGCACTCCACAGTCTCCTGTCTGTGCATCATGGATGCCACAGTGGAGCGTTGCTGTGGAAACACACAGGCAGTGTCACAAGCTTAAACGCTACTACACAACCTGCCCGGGTTAGGGAGCGCGACACCTACGCAGATCCAGGGGTGTTTGAGTGCGTCGGTGGCCGTCACTCTCTTGGCTGGGTTAATGGTCAGCATCTTATTGATCAGGTCTTTGGCCTCGGGGGTCACCGTGTCCCACTCTGGGGAGGGAAACTGTTCAACGACATCGTGAAAACCATTTGGAGTTTAGCTAACCGTTATTGTTAAAAGGAACATTTCTCTGCACGTGTGTGGCTGCACGGTGTAACTCACATCATACGCCCCAGCTTTGATCTGCTGGTACAGCCTGTGCTGGTCCTCGTCCCAGAAGGGAGGATAGCCCACGAGTAAGATGTAGAGGATCACTCCTACGAGCAGCGGAAACCAAAGTTAACCGAGAGCTCACGTCTTTACTAAAGCAAACCGAGCCTCAGGAAAAAGGCCGGCTTGTGTTCACTAACGTCACGCCAGGACAACCTGTTTGCATTCAGCTGTTTCTAAATGAGCAGCAGACAAAGTCAAACAGCTGCTGTTTGTGTAAATGTGTAAACGCACAAACCCGGCACACTGAGCGCTTCTGTTTGCTGGTGTCACCAGGGACGGGCTTTTTAATTGGCCGTCTGCCTGCAAAAGATGAAAAGGACCCGTATCTGCCGCTACGACCACAAACAACACCGCCCTTTGTTGCTGTGGTCTGAGTCAGGACAGGTGTGCTGCAC